CTTAGTAGTGCACTTACGAAGATAGGCTTCGGTTCCTTGCTTATGCCTAAGTTGAGCTCCATGAGATCATTAGCCGTGGCTTGCCCCCATTCCTTGAGCTGTGGTGGCATAGCAATGACGTTCTCCTTGGGGATTTCGTCTTCTTTGTCTTTTTGGATTTTGATGCGGAAAACATCTTGGACCTCCTCTTTAGTGCTTGTTTTCTTGGGCTTGTTGGCGTGCATATTGGCCAGTGTGGATGATAGTGCTACTCTTTACTTTTAGTTGTCCTTTTGTGTCAACTTCCAAGGTTGCTTGGTGCTTCATCCTTGAATAATTGAGCTTCGAACGTCGTCCTTTGTTGCTAGACCGTCAAGCTTTTCTTCTTTGGTGTTATCTTCCTTTTTCTGGAAGGTTGCTTGGTTTCTTCAAGTATTTCCAAGGCCAAATGTCATGGAGGAAAGCTAGCCGTGTTGCTTTGTTTCTTAAGTTTAGACCACCAATGCGATCAAGTGTCGAAATTTTGGGTTTTGAATGATTCAGCCTATCGAAGACTGATGTTCAAGGGGTGGGTTTAGGCTCCTCTTGATCTTATTCAACGCTTATACTGATGTTTTGAGCGCTAGCATTTTTTGCTTTTCTTGAAATCTTCACAGGTGTATTTGGTGTGAAGCCAAGTCCAGCTTTGTTGTTATCAACTTCGTAACCATGCTCCTTCAACTTCTTTTGAGTCTCGGTGAAGTTACGTTCTTTGTCGTTGATGGTGTTTGATACCTTTTTCTAAGATTTGAAGAGGAAGCGAAATCGTACCTAGCCTTTGACATGAGTTTGCAAGCGTTTGGGTTGAAACCTTCTTCGGTCTTCTTGGTTGGAAGAGTGCTTGGTTCCTTCCCTTTTGGCATGGGTTTTACAAAACCTTGTAGTGGTTTTGCCTATGGATTCGATTTCTTTTGGAAGAGCTTCGGGCACCATGTCTTCATCCATGTAGAACTTGGCATCCGCAAAGTGTGATTCGGCTTCGGTGAATGGCTTGGTGTCACCTTATATTACCTTTAGTCATTCTCAGTAGAACTTTAAGAATTGATGAAGGGTGGATGACACTATTCCATTCTCGTGGATCCAAGGCCTTGATAAGAGCAAGTTGTAGGAAGTTTTTACATCAATTACGTGGAATAACGTGCTTAATTTGAGTTCGCCAATGGTCATCTCGACTTGGATCATGCCTATTGCTCTGTCCTCCTAGGTTAAAACCTTGGATTAGCAGATAGTTTCGGGATAGTTCATCCACCTTGATGCCGATTGTGGTCATTGTTGACTTCGGCATGATGTTTATGGCCGACCCACCATCCACAAGTATACAGTTGATTTTGTTCTCTCTCACGTACCCAAAGAGGAAGATATGATGGTTGTGAGGCTTTGATCCCAGCAACAAGTCTTCGTCAGTGAAGTTGATTGCATCATGGGTGACACAACACGCGACATATTCGTGTGGTTGAAGCTTCAAGCCTTTGTCCTTGCTTTCTTGCACTTCATGGTCATCAAGGCTCGCCAATACCGCTACTAGTGCTTTTCGCATCTCCTTAGGCAATCGTAGTGCTTTCTCGATGCTAAAGTATGTTGGCAGGCCTTTTTTGGGCGTGATGGTCTTCTCTTCCTCGACAACGGTAACTTTGCCTTTTGAAGGCTCTTCTATCTCTATTTCAACCATGTGACAAGCAATGGTAGTGCACTATTAGAATAAATCATTCAGGAAGTACTCGTGCAAGGAGACAGGAATACGTGGCTCTTTTCTCATAGGCTCCCCAGCGTATGTTGGCTTTGCAGCTCTTACACTCCTGTTGGTATTTCTATTATTGCAACGGTGGTGCTTTCTCCCTTGTTCAACCTTTGGACGTGTGGCTTGTGGTCTTAGCTTCGTTGTTTTTTTGTAGGTTACCAGTGTCCACTTTTGTTCATCATTGGTAGGTGCATTCTAGTCGTTTACCTAGCGATTGTTGTGCAGAAAGTGCTGTATAGCTTGAGCATGGACGGGAGTGGTCGTGCGTTACTTAGAGAGGCACAGCATCGAAGGATCCAAACACGATTGTAGTAGTATGTGTTGCGGCTATGTCTTCAAGGTTAAGCTCGATCTGCCCTTGTTGTGCTAGTTTCATGATGAGTTCCTTGAAGACGAAGCACTTACTGACAAGATGACTTATGATACGATGGTATTTGCAGTACCTAGGATCGTTAATGCGATTCATCTCTTTGGGGCGCTTGCATTCATGTAACTCAATCACCTTTTTTTCCAGCAAGTCGTCTAGCATTGCAGCCACGTTAGAGTCAGGAAAAGCGTACGTCTTCTGATCTAGTTCCCTCAAGGTGTTTTTGTACTTGTCTTGGGTGTGAGAAGGCTCACCTCTCTTTATTTCATTTGTTTTGTTTCTGGAAGATCTTGACGGGCACGGAAAAGGTCTCGATGGGGAAAGTATGGATGGCAAAAGCTTCCTTGGTGGAGTCTTGTCTACCTTTGGAGCGAACACTTTATCCTTTTTAAGTCGATGATCGACTCCTTCTTCCTATGATTGGCAATACTTAGCTCTATATCATGGGATCGAGTTGCCAATTTTTCTAATGTTCTCAGTTTTACGCCTTGGAGGATGTAATGTAACCCACAATCCATGCCTTGGACACACATCTTAATGGCGGAGGCTTCAGAAAGCCGATCTTTGCAATCTAGACTTAATGAACGCCACCTATTAATGTAGTCGATTGCATGTTCATCATTCCACAATTTTGTACTCTTTAGCTGTAGCATGCTTACGATGTGGCGAGTGCTGTAGAAGCGGTTGAGGAATTCCCTTTCAAGCTGGTCCCAACTGTTGATATACTTGAGCTCGAGGTCAGTGTACCAGTCAAAGGCATTACCTTTTAGTGAGCGCATGAACTGCTTGACGAGGTAGTCTCCCTTTATCCCATCATTGTTGCTGGTTTCGATGAAATGGGCAATATGTTATTTAGGATTGCCTTTTTCCATCGAATTGCATGAATTTTGGCAGCTGATAACCCCTTGGCATCCTTAAGGCGTAATCTTTTTAGATTAAGGCTTTGAATACAGCACGGAGTCATGTGAGCTTCCTTCGTACTGCGCCTTGATGATGCTTATGATCATCTCTTGCAGTTGTTGGATAGAGAGATATCCTATAAGCGTCATAACTCGGTCCACCTTTAGCTTATCCTCCAACTTTGTCCATCAGAGGCTCATCGTTTTCGTCAGCTTCCTCCTTTGGTGGATCAACTTTCGGGTCAGCTTTATTGTCGTGCTGCGCCTCTAGACGGTTGACGAGTGTAGTAATCTGCGAATTCTTTTCCTCCATGGTCCTTGTCAGCCTTGCGATTGTTTTACTCATTTGTGCCAGCTGCTCTTCGATTGAAGTCGCACTAGTAGTCATGACTTGCATGGCTACGGGATATGAGCTGCTGCTTGAGTCGGTATTGGAAGTCACCGACTCGGAGTACTTTCTCGGGCTTTCTTCCGTTGGTGCCCTTAGCGAGGCCAGGGTGATCATGGGCTCGTGTCTCGGGTGCTCTTGCTCCTTCGGCAAAGTTACTATAGGGGTGGAAGGCACGACAGAGAGAGCTTTTGCCTTACTTTAGATTGTGACGCCCAAAGTTCCACCATTTGCGACAAAGATGTTCTTGTTCTTCGCGTTGGTTGCAGGAACAGGTTGATCCTTTCTTGATGCCATGTGTGTTTCTTATGGATTTGAAGACAAAGATGAGAGGTCGAGAGGTCCCACTGAGCGTGCCAAATTTGTAAGCACGAAAATTTTGTAACGAATGAAACGAGAACACGTGTACAAAGTAGATTTGTATTGATGAATTTGTAGGGTTACAATCTTTGTTTACAACTTTCCTCTGATTCAGTCTTCAAAATTGATATAGATGCATAGTTTGTTGATCCAAGGATCGCGATGACTGGATCTCGGACGATCGATTGAACGATTGCTTCAAGTTTTGAGCTTGAAACAACGCTTGGATAGTTTTCACCTCAGGTTTAGGGCTGCGGCAAATGTGATGTTGATGTGGGATTTTGTTGATTCAAGGGTCTTGGAGACTTGATCTTAAATCAAACATTGTTACAAGTTTTAAGCTTGCAACAAAGTCTTAAAGAAATCGGCACAAGTGCTTGTTGATTCTTCAAGGGGATGCTTCGACTTTGGTTATACGTTCTTCGAAGAGAGCTTTGTAATTAGCTTCAAAGATTCAGAGGCTTGTGAGATTGGCCCCAATGTTCCTTGTGGGACCGTAAACTTTCAGTTGCCTTGGTGGATTTGGTTTGATTTGTGTCTTGATTTGTCCATGAGAGAATTTAGGCATGTTTTGAGTCTTAATTTCAACCACTTTCCCTTGCTTGGCCGAAATCTATAGGGATTTCTTGCCTATTTTGTGAACAATCTTCAATCCTTACTTGTTTTGTGATGATGTTTTAGCTTTCTTTCTAGTTTTGAGTGCAATTTGGGTCCCTTGCCGATTTTAGGGAGATTTCTTCCCCTTTGCCGCATTTTAGGAATCTTTTTAGCTTCCTTTACTTGATTTGTGCCACATGTCATTGATGACTTGTCCATTTGTGATGAGTCATATGTCACATGGAGCTTTGTGATGCATTATTTGTATGCAACAAAATTTACATGTCTACAGATCCGTTTTAACAAAAATTCTGACGCAGTTGACGAAAAGGACCATAACTGCACGTTTTGAGGAGTTAAGGGATTATTGGTCATGAATTTTTGGTTGAGAGATCATTTCTCGTATTGAGTTAAAGTTGAGGGATCATTGTTACAGTTTTATCCGATAAAAAATAATCACGTTTATTAATACTTAAGTAATAATTCAATCATCAAAATTTATATCATTTGACTTACAAATTTTGATTTAAAAATTTGATCTTTCTAGCATTACCCTAAAAATATACTTCCAAAAAAACTATTAAATTTGAATGACATTTTGTGATGGAAAAAAAAAAAAAAAAAATGGACATCCCGTAAGATTTGTAGCTATTGGTTTCTGGGCGAGCAACCTCGCTTCCCGTTGATGCATCTGGAGACACGTCCGTCGTGTATATTCATGATTTTATAACACAAACGGGGAATAATAATAAAAAAATAAATAAACAAAACAAAATCCGGTTGTATAAAGGGTGGCGTGGCTAAAGAGCCGCAGTTGACGATGGGGGGGGGGGGGGGGGACGAGAGAGGATAGCAGCAGCAGCGAAGGCACCGCCATCTCAGTAGAGGACGCTCTCGAAACAGTTCTGAGAGTGGTCCATCGCCTGCCGCTCCTCACTGTGCCCCTTCACGATGCGGCTGGGAAGGTGCTGGCCGAGGACATTCGCTCGCGTGACCCTCTGCCGCCGTACCCTGGTTCGATGAAGGATGGGTACGCAGTGGTGGCTTCAGATGGGCCTGGCGAGTATCCTGTAATCGCTGAAGCAAGAGCTGGCAACGATGGACTTGGCATCACCGTCACTCCTGGAACTGTAGCCTATGTTACCACTGGAGGTAAAATAATAATTATTTTGAATTAATTTGGCAGTCTCAGTTATTTCGATGGATGCTAGGATTGGATTGGTTAACTTGTAGAATTTGAGTATATTGAAAGTAGAGGTGAATGATTTTTTTATTTTTTATTTTGGGGGGATTATAAGGCGAGTAGACATTAGGAAATTTATCTCTTTTTTGGGAGGGATTGGAATGGAAAAGTTTTCGTGACGAGTAATCCATCTTCTACCTTCAAGTTGGACATATTTTTCGAATATAGTGAGTTATCCAATCCATGCCTAGACACCAAATGAGCCCTAAAGAATCATTTGTTTCAGAGAATGAACTCGCAAACTCCCTAGGCTCACTACTCATCATCCTTGGTGCATATCAAGCCAACAAACCATTTGTGCATCATGATCCCCTAGCCTAGTACTATCAACCGTGTTTTTACTATAATCCCAAATTCTGCACATTATTGATGTTTGTACTCATCAGAGTATTGGTTCTTTTGCCTTTAACCCGTTCTTCCAGTGTGCATCGTTTTAGGACCAATACCTGATGGTGCTGATGCAGTGGTACAAGTTGAGGACACCGAAGAAATTGATAAGCATTCACTTGATTCAAGGAAGTAAGAATATTTATACCAACAAGCAAAGGAGTAGATATTCGTCCAGTAGTATGGTGTCATTCTTTGACGGTCAATTAACATTTTTGTTTCTTCCTTTTAATTTGAGAATGTCTCGTCTTCCTAGCACCTTTGTATTAATACATTTTTGTTTCTTACATAAAGTACCTGTTGCTTGAAATAAGTTGGATCACTTATGGAGCAAAAATAGGAAGTAGAGAGAAAGAAGAACACTATCTTAGAATTTAACAATGGTTTCCTAGGAGTCTCACCTAGAATCCAATGAAAACTAGATTAAGCCAGGATTCTAAAACTAACCCTGCAATTAAAATTCCTAAATACGAAACGAAAACTGACAACCTAAGTACATAAACTTGACTGACGAAGAACTGGTCTGTGTGTATAGTTCCCAGTGATTAATTGGAAGAAGATGGGCATAGTGCTTTATTGGTTTGGCAGAGGATCAAAACTGGAAAATAGAGAGTTTCTTAGAACTATTTAATCACATGGAGGGCAGTAAAGTTAGAGTGTGCACTACAGTTGCATAAGCGACTATGTTAGCATTATTCCATGATGGATATATTCATTTGTACCTTTTTTCAGTCGTGATCTATCAAGGAAAAAAAGGAATCACTTTTGCGAACCTACAGTTTTCCATACTTGTTTAATCTAATGAAGTTTTAGAAGCTCATTGAAAAAATATGTTTGCCAGGGTTGTGACATTGAAACAGATGCTGTAGTATTGACATCTGGGCAAAGAATTGGTGCTTCAGAAATTGGTTTGCTTGCTACTGTAGGAGTGACAATGGTGAAGGTATTAAAAGAATGTAATGCTGTGCTTAATAATTTGTCACTGAGAGCAACTGTGCCATGTATTTTCCATTTGTTTAGGAATGAATTTGTGTTCCTTATAAAAAAAAATAAGAATAATAGATTGACACTGAAGCTAGTATGTCATATAGGTATATCCCACCCCAACAATTGGTGTGCTTTCCACAGGAGATGAACTGGTGGAGCCAACGACAGGCTGTTTAAATCGTGGCCAGGTACTGCAAGCTACTGAAATCTCTCTCTCTCTCTCTCTCTCTCTCTCTCTCTCTCTCTATATATATATATATATAAGGTCCTTCACTTTGTAGTACAAAAATAACAGTACAGCGAATGGCCAATTTAGTTTTAAAAGTCTATGAAAGTACTTTCATATGCTGAAAGTGGTGCATGGCTCAGATGCTAATGTAAGCTCACCCTTGTTAGTCAGGAAAAAGTGGTAGAAAAATATTCAACAAAGCTTAAAACCTCGATTGTAAGGTATTATTAATTAAATGTTCCACAAAGTCAATACTTATTCATCATTTTGTCCTCTACTTTGGTCCACAAATTCATACCCCGCCCGTGTCTCATCACATTACAAGACAATGGTAGGTATTTTAGTCTGTTGTTAGTTATTTTGCATATAGGGTTTATTATAATTGCAATTGTATTGACGCATCGTTATTAATGGTGGTGCTACGTCACATGTGTATGTATACAGAGTAGGCTGATGCAGTTCTTGTGCAGATTACAGACTCCAACTGGGCTATGATACTGGCAGCTTCACTACAGCATCATTGCAAAGTTCTTGACCTAGGTATTGCTAGAGATGATGAAGTACAGGACAACATCATGAGTACTGCCATTTCTGCTGGAGTTGATATTATTCTTACATCTGGAGGTGTTTCCATGGGAGACAGGGACTATGTCAAACCACTACTTCAAAAGAGAGGGACATTGCATTTTAGTAAGGTAGGCTGAATCTGCAGTCATTGCTCATATGTTTTCTGTCGCACTTTATATTTCCTTGTAGGATGGGTGTAGGAAATTGGAACCAAATGCCAATTTGTGATGGTGTATTGAAATGAAAGGTGGTTTGGAATTTAACCGGCTCTTCAGGTTTGGATGAAACCAGGGAAGCCTTTGAATTTTGCAGAGATCAATTCCAGACTTGCAGAGAATATGCCAATGAAAAAGATTTTTACATTCGGGTTGCCTGGAAATCCAGTTAGCGGTCTTGTCTGCTTCCGCATATTTGTGGTCCCTACTATCCACCGTCTTGCTGGATGGGAAAATCCTCATCTTTTGAGGTTGCTGAAATTCTGAAGCTCTCTCTCTCTCTCTTTCTCTCTCTCTCTCTCATCTGTGCCTTTGTTACTGAAGTAAATTTCTAGAGATTGATATTACACCCACCTTATTTTTTATAATTTCTAATGTACAGAGTGCAAGCTTGTCCTCTTCAGCCTTTAAAGACAGATCCTGCACGCCCAGAATTTCATCATGCTATCGTTAGATGGGAGTTAAATGATGGACTGGGATATCCTGGGTAAGTCTCTAATGAGTTAAATGATGGACTGGGTTATCCTGGGTAAGTTGTTTAAGGAACTTGTCATGTAAGTTGTTTAAGGAACTTGTCGTGTAGGTTGTTTAAGGAACTTGTCATGTAGGGTGTTTAGTTTAGTGCCTTTTTGAGTGTTTGTATGTTCTAATCCTCCGTTTACAATAAAGGTAAAAAAATGTTTCTATTTTGCTTTTCAGCTTTGTTGCTGAGAGTACTGGCCACCAGAGGAGCAGTCGGATTTTAAGTATGAAGTCTGCTAATGCTTTGTTGGAGTTGCCAGCAACAGGCAGTAGCTGGGACTTCTGTGCCAGCCATCATTATTTCTGATATAAGCAATGCTATTTGCAAAATTTCTTCGTCACCTGATTCGGCATCATCTTTCCAAAGATCTATAATGCAAGAACTGTAGCTGAGTCTCAGGATGCCGGCGTTAGAGTAGCAATTCTTACAGTGAGTGATACTGTTGCATCAGGGGCTGGGCCTGATAGAAGGTATGATACCTTCCTACCAACATGGATAGTACATATATATGTGTCCATAAATGATTTAAGGACTGCGGAGCTAGTGCTCATTTAACGAACTTGTGAACATGAAACTTATTATGTTCTGTAAAATATGATAATTTTTATAGTACTTTCCACATGGTGAAAGTTTACGATCTCCTCATCACAGTTTGTTTCCCTGTCTCATAAAATTTTTGTAAACGTACCCGAAACTAAAATATTTTGTTTATCCTAAATGTGTGTGTTTAAATATCTTGAAGTCAAATGTTCCCGAGAAAAAAATTATCTGTTATTTTGAAAATGCATCTTTTATCCTTGAAGAAATTGCATTTTTACTCCGGTGTATTAAAAGGCCGAGGCGTGGGCGAGGCGTCCGAGGGATAGCCCGGCCTAGGCATGAGGCGAAGTCTCACAGGACCTAAATTTTTTAATATATACACTGAGTGTACACATATATATTATATTATATTAAAAAAAGAAGATTATTAATCAATAATTATCCTGAGCACACATATATTATAAATATATATACAATGAGCACTAACAATGCACGTAGACAACACACACATCCATTATATAAAAAAAAAAAAACGCAGAGAGACGATAGTGCAAGCAAGAGATATGAGGCAGTTAAAACCCCACCCAAAATTTAGGCCCTCCGGTGACGCCTTCTGCCCACACTCTCAAAATAGAGGCGGCAATCCTCACGCCCAGCCTCAGGGGCCGCCGCCTAGGCGGCGCCTGGTGCGTGAAATTATACGCGCACAAATTAAACCCTCTTTTTATCAATTGTAGTAAGTACGTAAGTAGGGATTGTTCTGGACCGGGGATTAGGAGGGATTATTAATCACTTGGATTTGACTTCAAAAACGTAAAAACAATATAAAACACTAAACTAGACTCAAAGAATGTGAAACTAAACGTTAAAACACTAAGACAAACCAAAAGACTCAAAATGCTTTAAAAACACAAACTAAATTGATTTCTAACTAAATTGAACATTAAAGCAAAAGGGGGATTGAGGTTTGACGAAAATTGAAATAACGAAACAAGTTAATAAACTAGACAGAATGTAAATATGAAATGGATGAAATGGAATGAATGGATGCTAGCCAAGGGGTTCATCTCCACACATGTTACACTTGCATAATAAAAAGATTTCCAATTGCATTTCAATGAATTATGAAACTCATCACCCCGGGTTAATTAGGTCCGCTTAAATTAATCTTCAAATCTTCCTAACGTTATTGAATTGGATGATTGCATACGACAACCCAAAACATTCCCCACAAGTCCCCTACATGATTGCATAATAGAGATACAAGCAAGAATCATTACGCTCTATGAAAATTATAAGTGTTGACGAGGCATTCGTTACTATGATTGCATGAAACTTATGCCAAGAATTTGTTTAACGCGATTGTTTATAAGCAACCTCCACTACTTGTGAATATAAGTTCATAACTATTACGTGAAACTCACTTATATTCTAGCGTCATATTCATGCATGAAAATTAAGCGTGAACTCTCAATAAACATACATAAATAGGTTATCAATCAAATAGTTAAACAAATTGAATTCACAACTTATGAAACGCAATTAGAAGTAATCAAATCAAAACGCAAGCATAAACATATATTTCGAATCACCCCCTAGCTAAGGGGGGGTTTAGTTCCTCATACGTACAAAACAAAGAGAATTGAAATTAAACATTGAAATCAAAGAAACGCCTAAACATTCCAACAACTCAAACTTGAATTGTATGAACGTTTAGGCCCTCTTATCTTCCTCTTTATTGTGGCACAAGGTCTAAGGGATGTTGTTGGTGTGTTTGAATGGATTGGGGAATTATGGAAATGGATGAGGAATGGTGTTTGGATTATAAGGGAATGGGGACTCACGGCTAGGAAGAAGTGGATGTGTTTGTGGTGTGGTGTTGTGTATGAAATGAGATGTCTATTTATAGGTAAATAAGGGGGAACATGACAGCTAGGAGGTGGGTGGAAATGTGGCTGCAAGGTGAGTGAATGATTATGATTAAATGCATGTGAATGTGGCTAGGTTGGAAAGCTGGAATGGTGATGATTTGCACGGCAAAGGGTGGAGAAAAGGTGTGTGAATGTGGCTGATTTATGAAGGGCATGCATGTGCATTAAAGGGGGAAATGTTAGGTGGGAAATGCATGTGAAGGTGTTGGAAATGGGAGGTAGGCCACGTCATGGAGTGTGGGATGAGCTGATTTGTGGTGCAATGATGAAGAATGCATGTGGAATGGATGCAGTGATGAAGGAATAATCTGGAAATGCAAGGTGGAAAGCTGGAAGTGTGAGTGAAGGCCACGGCAAGGGTGTTTTCTTGATGGTTTTGGGGTTGTGATGCATGTGAATGCATGTGAATGATAGCTAGGGTGTGTGATGATGAGTGTATGTGGAATAAAGAATGAATGGTGGCTGAATTGAAGGAGTGTAATGGCTGAAAATGGGATGGATTTGCAAGGGCCACGGCAAAGGATGTTTTGATGGTGCATGTGACATTGTTTTGTGACATAGAATGGATAGGGTGAATGATTATGTGGCTGCATGTTTGAATGATTAAATGTGCATGTGAATTAGGTTGTGAAAGCATGTGTTGATGAATGGGATTGTGGAGATGCACGGCATGGGGTGTTTGTTTGTGTGAAGTGTTTGCATGTGGATGACAACTAGGAGAGTGGGAATGCATGTGGAAGAAATTGCATGTGGAAAGGTTGGAAATGGGATGGGATAAAGGATGTATAAGCACGGCACAAGTGTTTTGTAAAGGGGAAGATGGTGTGTGTAATTGCATGTGTGTGCATGTGGGTGAATGTGAAGGGAAGACCATATGCACGGCAAAGAATGATTTGTGGTCAAATGGATGAATGATTAAGAGTGCATGTGGGTGATTTGTGTTGCAATGATGAAGTGGATGGGAGTGATAAGTGATAAGTGATAAGTGAATGGTTTGATAAGTGATAAGTGAATGGTTTGATCTTCAATTTCATCCAACACTTGGGCTCCAAGCATAAGCTATCCATCCTTAGCCCAATAGTGCTCCAAAAGGCCCCAAAACACTCCATAATGCATCCTTTCGTCAAACACGTCTTATGATCCTGAAAACACACAAAAGAAGCATAAAGGACTAAAATAACTAAAGAAACATAACGTAAATGTACGAGAACAAGCCATTTAAGTCGCATGAATATGCTCCTATCAGCGCCCCCCCCCCCGCCCCCGGAGGCAAGCCTTTTAAAACATTGTTTTACTCTCTTTTTCCCGAAAAGTTATGAAGCAAGTCTTCCGTTAAGGTTGTCAGTTAAACTAATACATCACCGTATGCCTTTTTTACGATCTCCTCATAAAAGTTTGTTTCCCTGTCTCAAAGTAGTTTTTAAACTTACCCGAGTCTAACATATTTTGTTTAACCTAAATGTGTGTGTTTGAATATCTTGAAGACAAATGCTCCCAAGAAAAAATTTCTCCGTTCTTTTGAAAATGCATCCTTTATCCTAGAAGAAATTGCTTTTTACTCTCTTTTTCCTGATAAGTTATTTAGCAAGTCTTTGGTCAAGATTGTCAGTTAAACTAATTGCATCAACTTACACCTTTTGGATACGGGAGCGACACCACAATTGATGTTCCTCATTATCAAAGCTTGATATGGAAAAGAAAAATTATATAGGAGCTGTTTCTCACGGCTGAATCTCCTTTAAAATTGCTGAATTTTTATTTTAGAAAAATCAATGACTTCACTTTTGGACAGAAAATGGTCAATTCATTACTCTTTTGGCATTGACTGCCAACCACAAACTGCTTTTTCCAGGGGCTTGGGCGGTTTCTTGTGTTGCTCATTGTACGAAACGGTTCTTTACATTTTTCTGTCTTAGGTAGACCGTAATTGAACTCAAATGCATCTAGATACTCCTTTTTGAATGGTTGTTTCAAGGAGGTCACTTAATAGATGCCAAAGAAACAACACAAAGCTGATATTGCTCCTTGTCAAAGTACAACATGAGATGCACTCTATGCTTTGTGATATTATAATGGACCCTTCACTTTACCTTCTTGTTCCTGTGTATATAAAGTTCTCTTGTGGTTAATAAACACTCCAAACGGAGAGTTGTATGCTCCGTTCGTGTATCTGAAAGTAGACTCCAGTCAACAAGATATGCTGAAAAAGTTAGGACCTTATGTTTGGTTAAATTTAGTAAATTTCTGTTCATAAGAATTTATTTGAACATATTACAAGGATTTTCTTCGTGTTTGTGCATTCTGCATTCATCTATGAGTATTTATTTAATGTGTCTCGATTTGCAGTGGTCCAAGGGCAGTTTCTGTTGTAAATTCCTGTTCAGAAAGGTTGGGGGGAGCTAGGGTTGTTTCAACAGCTGTGGTCCCGGATGATGTAAGCAAAACAAAGGGTGTTCTGCATAGATGGAGTGATATTGACCAAATGGATCTCATCCTCACCCTCGGTGATTTTCTTGCTCTTCAGCGGGCCCGTTTCTTTTTGTGAACTAGCACCTCTTTGGTACAGTTTTCTTGAATTCCTCTGAAGTAATTTTTTGTCAAAAAATTAAGGTGGTACTGGCTTCACCCCACGAGGTGTAACCCCTGGAAGCAACCAAAGAGTTGATTGAGAAAGAAACACCTGGTCTTCTTCATGTCATGATGCGAGAGAGTTTGAAGGTAGCTTAACTTATATGGCAACATATACGTCTACGTCATCAACTGTATTGCAGGATTTAATTAATTAAGTTTAGATAAATACTGAAACAAGGTCATACTAAATATATATATATATATGATGAAATGAAATATTATTTCTCTTGCTGCTTATTTAATGAATGTGATTTTTATAGTATTTAAGTGCAACTTTTAAGACGTAGGTTGGTTTCTGTAGTTCTAATGAAAAATTCAGTTTCTACTCGATCTAGATTACGAAAATCTCTTATCATTGCATGCTTACAACCATTTGAATGAAATATATAGTCACATAAGCACCTATGTTGATGGATTGACTTCGAAGATTTGTTTAGCTTAAACACTAATGTTTTCTTATCTGAGACAGGTGACACCAACTGCTATGCTCTCGCGCTCTGCAGCAGGAATAAGAGGGTCATCACTGGTAAGGTCACGATGTCATTGTGCATTCCTTATGTTTCGTATTAGTAGACGTGGAACTATAAACATTGTTGATGGTTATTGACGTTAGATTGGTATTTAAGTTATCTGGATTGTGTGGATGATTTGGTTCCATTCCGTAATTGTCAAGTCTCTGTTGTCACTGTATACATTCAGATCATTAACATGCATGGGAATCCAAATGCGGTTGCTGAGTGTATGGAGGCTCTGTTGCCTGCCCTCAAGCATGGATTGAAGCAGATAAGAGGAGACAAGAGAGAAAATCATCCCTGACACGTCCCTCACACACAAGGGGCGACCGCGGATGTGTGGGAACAAAGTTATAAGCTGGCCTCAGCTAGTGGGAGTGAGCCAGGTTGTTCTTGTTGCCGCTAATATGGAATCTAGTAGAGTCATGTAACGTTTTCCACTTTTGTTCTGCATCTCCTCCTCATAGAATGTAATAGTTGTAATGTAGTGAGCCAGGTTGCTAGTAAGATGCGCTTACGCGTAGATTCTTCAACGTGTTACACAAATTTGAATAAATGTATAGTAAAGGAGGGTGTGCAAGGGCTTGTTTAGAAGTACTTTTAAAATGATTAAAAGCGCTTTTAGACAAAAATTTTTTGGGTTCTATAAACACTTGAAGTGCTTCATGCAAGAAGCATCAGTTATGTGCTTCTAGGAAGCATTTCAAGTGATTTTTCTAGGATTACTTATTTTTTTCTACTAAAGATTGATTCCAAAAATATTTCCACCAAAAGTGCTTTTGGCCCTTTTAAATCCAAACGAGTTATAATTCAATCAAAAAGAGCTTTTATTAGGGTAATATATATGATTATTTATTGGAGTTGGACGAAGGTTAATCTAAATTTTATCTGCAAGTACAGGATGATATTTGATTGTTCATATATGGGATAGATTCTCGGTGATAAATGATACCTGATTGAAATTCTCACACCAGATTGAAATTGAGAATGAAATTATTTTCAATGTGGAATTTTTCATTCCTTGTAAGGTACAAAACACATGGTATGTTTGGAATCAGAATGTTACTCGTATCTCACATTCCCTTAGATATGTCAAGTTTGATAGAAAGAATTAGTCACATTCGATATGTTGAGTTAAAAAGAGAATGAAAATTATGCTCATGTATAGCATAAGAAAATTATAGCAATGATCCCTGATTTATTCGGATTAGATCTATGCTTCTTGAATTGAAAATCTGTGATATCGTTGAACTTGTCGCAGTGTGAAGCAATGATAATTCTGTTAAAACCTTTGTCCTTTATTTGGCCATTAAACACCCTTTTGTTTTGGATAAAGTTTTAATGGTGTTCATAAAAAAGACCATTATTTCACATTGTAACGCTTACAAATTTTTAGCTTAAGAACCAAAGCTTCAATAGGGCTGAAGTTTGGAACAAGGTTCTAAAAGATGTCAAAAGTCTAATTGTCTCTGCAGTTTGAATTTTAGTTTAAATAGGAAGTCTTTTATTTGATATTTATTATTTTATTTCCTAATTTTTAGAAGACCTTTTTCAGGAAGAATTTTATTTTGTAGTAGTATAAATAAGGCTATTTAGCTATTAGGTGTGGGACGCATCAATTTGGAGAACCTGGCTAGCCTTTGACGATTTGTATTCTTCTTTCAAGTGTTTTCTATCCTTTTTCTATTTCAATAAAATACCTTTTGTTTTATGATTATTCGTAACTAATTTTCTTTTGTTAGGGCGAAGCCTACCTTAGCATGAATATTACAGTATACCGCGGTCTCAGGCCAGAACCACACGTGCAAGTTTCCCTGCCTATCCATGTTTTATCCAGCCCTTGCTCCATCATCAACCACCAAAATGTTTACTGTTAGAGACTCAAATGGTGGATATGCAAGCATGATAACTTATATGCTGTTCTATTCATTTTGATGACTTTATCATATTTTATCATACTAATTTCTTCATTTTGAAGCTTCTCATTATCCGTAGACATCCCCTACCATTGCGTATTGGTACTTATCAGATGTTGAATAGATCTGCTTCTTTTTGTTCTTAGTCTTTATTTAATTGCTTATGATATTATGTATGCATACTTTGAGTTATTACTCACTATGTTTAAACTGTCTTTATGTCTTAATGCTTAGCTACCATTATGATGTTTAGATAAGTTAGACCTAGCAATTTCTTACATGACCCGTTAACACAACACTTAAACGACACAAAAATCATGGGTTTTGGGTCAATACAATAACTAATCGGGTTGTTATCCGGTCATACGATAAGAACACGTTAATAATGGATGCTTAACAGGTTTACACAAGGGTGACATGGGGGTAATCCGTTTCGACACGTTAAGAAAAAAAATTATTTTGATGACTTTAATTTTTTAAACTACTAAAAAAACTTACAATAGCCATAGTGTCTGTGTGTATATATTGTATATTAAATATGTATTATTGTATTATGATTCTATATAACTTTAAATAATTCAAGTTTTTTTATTTTTTTTATTTTTTATAGTATATTATAGGCAAAGAGTGAGCTTAAAAAATTATATGAAAATAAAAATATCAAGTAATTTAAAAATACCAAACACATTGTAAAAAATATAATAATTAATTTACAAATGCAAAAAATGTGAAAAAAAAAAATAATATGAAAACGCTCATGATCGCATCCTCTACGCTTTGAGGATGGGTACATTGTTGTTTGAATTTTTAAAACCATTCAAACCCCCATGAATGGTATTTTTAAGGGATTTCAAAATAAATAAAATTCATAATCATTAATGTACAAGTCTTAAAAATGTGAAATCACATATAAACACTAATGATTGCATCCTCTACGCTTAGACGATGGTTACATGGTCGTTTAGATTTTTAAAAGCCTCCAAATCTCATGAAACGCAACTCCCTTCATTTTGCATATCCTTGAACATTTGGTGTTTTGTAGTAATGTACTAATGTTTTTTCATTAGACTCTTATTTTGGGGTATGTAATACTTGAAAAACAAATGTTTTTATGTTTTGAAGTAATATTTATGTGACCATGAAGTATGCATAAACTAATTTAGTATTATGTTTTCCATTTTTTTGGGTCAAATTATGTTTTTCATTTTCATTATTTATTGATTTAAAATTTATTGTTTTTAACGGGTAACGAGTCAGGTCATATTACCTAATAATATTAATGGATTGATTTCGGGTCGGATCACATTACCTGTTTACTTATAGGGTGTTACATGACACGATCTGTTAAGATATCGGGTATATCACGAAAATGACACGAACACAAAAAACACAAAACGAGTGCTAGATCTGAGATAAGTAATCAGGCGCAATTTAGTCATAATATCACAGGACGATTGAGTATTGCTTCTTGTGGTTAAAAATTGTAATTTCACTAAAGGCGAATATCACAGTTTTAAGGGTTGTATGTTTTTTCAGAAGGTTTTCATAAAAATTAATGAGTCTTGCATGTTCATATTTGATATGAATATTATAGACGGATTACATGTTAGATATACATTCTTTTGAATATCACAAGGAGATGCATTAGGAAAACCTAACCTTCAAAGTTGCATGTGTAATTCATAAGTAGTTGACAAAATTACATAGGATTTTTAAGGTGATGGCAGAAGCTAGTATATTTTTATTATTATTGTTTGTTCATAACGTTTCTTGTGATAACCCGTCCCGAATTATTTGTACAGTAGGTGTGAAATGACGATTTTGCCCTTGGTAGTTATTTGTCATTTTGGGGTGATTGTTTTGTGGTTTTGTTGGTTGCATTTGGACCACACACGCACTCACACATCCATACCACATTCCCGTGCCTTCTCTCTCTCTCTCTCCTCCCTCTTTTGATTTTTTGCAACGTCTGTACAAGTCGTATGGACAACACCAAACAAACCCATTTCTGTGCAAATCGAGCTCGTGTTTAGTACCATCACCTTCATTTCATCATCACCAACTCATTTATACCAGTTTTTAGACGTGAAGGCTTGGAAAACCCGAGAACCCGAGATCCCAGTTCGAGGTACTGTTCATGCACAAGTAAAATTGTGTGTTTTTGGGGAATTTCAGGCTTACAAGGAGCTTTAGGAGGTCCTCACGAGTCTCGGATTGGTTCGTTGGAAGAAATTGGACATCGGGATCGTGAGTTGCAAGTTTGGCCGATCTTCTTGAATTTCTCCGGTGACATCTCGTGATCTTTGGGGCTTTAAACAGGTAAGGAAATGGTCTACAAGTTAAGAGCTTCAATTTGGTACTGGTTTCATGAAATTTGGTTGAAAAACGAGTAAGATATTAAGATTTGAAAAATTTCCAGTTTTCCGATGATGGCGATGGTACCGGAGGAGTGCCGGAGAAGACAAGGGAATATTCCATTAAGTTAATGGAATATTCTTAATGGCGTTAGGTTAGTTTTAACGAAATTTGTTAGTTTTCACGGAATATTCCCTAATGGCGGTTAGGGAATTCGTCAGTTTTGGTCGCGCGTGGGGGCACGTAGGGCCGTGCCCTCGCTAACATGTGGCCGCGCGTAGAGTCTCAAAAAATTATTTTAAAAATATGGCGTTGTTCGTGAGGTTGAGAAGATCACGTTGGTATATCCAAACACCTAATTTGAGCATTGTATGAGAAGTTATTACCTAGTTTTGATTATGTGCTTTAAATTGACGTTTTTATAGTTGTTTCGCATATAGGTGAGACCTATCATGAGGACGAGCACAGTCATCGAGACAAGGGGGTTACGACCCTTCCACATATCACTGAGTGGGCTTTGGTTTTTCGTATATACCTATATACTTGTGGTTTTTCCCAAAAAATGATATGGAATGTTTATATGTTTTAAATGCCATGCATAGCGTTTGCCTATTTATTTATGCACTAGTAGTGGCATATATGTATGTTTAGTGCTACGGACGCACAGGTAAGTGCCAAGTAAGTTTATGTTTATGATTGTGAATTAGTGGTTATGTGAGATGCATAGAGAGCTCATAACCTGCACCCTCGGTGTTAGTGCTCTCGCCCAGAGCAGGGCACAGTCCTTCACGTGATGTTCACCTCCTGCACCATATGCTCATCTTGGATCCAAGTTAGGTGCACAGTCCTGTCGTACAAACCACTATAGGTGGTTCCAACTTGTAGGTGACCCGCGATTATTCGCCCAGTCTTCACGTGATCGTAGCACTTGAGCGTAATTATTTACACCCAGTCCTGTCATATAGACCACTTTAGGTGGTTCCGACTCGTGTGCAAGTATAGTTAGTGAGTTGGGGATTTGAGCTCTAGATTCAGCCATACAAGTCACCTAACATGTTACTTGCATTGATTGACATTACCTGGGTTACTTACATTTTATGTGGAGGCATTCGACATGGCATATTTCTGAACATGTTTTTGATATATGTGTATATTCTATTTTCTGGGAAACTATACAAGTTTTACGGCGAGGGGTTAGAACTTTTGATAATGAAATGATTTTGAAAAGCTTTGTTTTTTCCCACTCACACTTTCTGTTTTGCGCCCCTCCAGGTTCTAGTTAGAAGCAGTTTTGGTGGTTCACGAGGACTTGATGGTGGTTCTGAGAGAACATCACAAATGTAGGATCACCTTTGGGTGTTGTGTAATTAGTATTCGTTCTTCTGGATTGCACTTAGGTTTTCTGTGCTCTGATTATGTTTATCACACTTAGTCTCTGTAAACACGAAAAAATTCCTGAAACGAGAAACAAGAATACGTGTACAAAATATATTTTTGTATTAATGATTTTGGGGTTACAATCTCTTTGTAATTTGATCCTCTGATTCTATCTTCGTAGGGTGTAGGTTTGTGGATGAGTTGTTGATCCAAAGGGCCATCGGGGCTTGATCTAAGGACGAACAGTTGATGAATGGATCTTCAAGGGGCGTTGGGCTTGATCTTGAAGAATGGGTGTATGAGTTTGTTGAGGTTGTTGATCCAAAGGGCCGTTGGGGCTTGATCTTAGGATGAACGGATGATGAATGATGAACACTTTCTTCAAGGGGCCGTCGGGGCTTGATCTTGAGTTGGTGGAAGTTCTTCAAGGGCCGTTGGGGCTTGATCTTGAAGGTTGATGGATGAGCGGATCTTCAAGGGCTTTTGGGCTTAATCTTGAAGAACGATTGGATGTGTGGATTTGTTGAGGTTGTTGATCCAAAGGGCCGTTGGGGCTTGATCTTAGGATGAACGGATGATGAACGATGAACACTTTCCTCAAGGGCCGTCGGGGCTTGATCTTGAGTTGGTGGAAGTTCTTCAAGGGCCGTTGGGGCTTGATCTTGAAGGAGGATTTGACGAAGAACGAAGAGTGCTTTCTTGATACTTCGGGATTTGCTTGAGAGCTTTAGAGTTTCAAGGCTTGAAGGTTTTGGTGTAATGTAAATTCCTCTTCCTTTCTTTTTTTTTTTCAAAATGAATGCCTTGGCTTCTATTTATAGAATTCCAAAACTTGATTTTTGGATTTAAATAATCAGATGAAATAAATCATTTCTGTCAGGTATTGACACGTGTCCTATTTGATGACTTTTCCAATTTATTTCGATTTTTCGTTGAGTCACACGCTACATGTAAAATTTATGTGACACGTGAGTGTTGAAATTTTAATTGTTGGTCAACATTCATTTCACCGAAATTTTGATGTCTACAAATGCCCCCACTTCAAGGCGCGTCGTAGACATGTGCTTGTCACGTGTAGAAGATGCGTTTTGAAGTCCCTTAATGTAGATGTCAACCCAAGGGCCGTCGAGGCTTGATCTTGAATTGGGCTGGAAATTTCTTCAAGGGCCATCGAGGCTTGATCTTGAGTTTGACTGGAAGATTTTCTGGTTTCCTCCAATCGTTGATTTTCCGCAGGCTTAATCTTGAACTGGGCTGGAGGATTCTTTTGGTCTCCTTTGAAGGTCTGAACTTACTCCTTTTATCTGGAGTTGAATTTGATTCAAGGGTGGTGAACACTTGATTTTGAATCGGACTTGTGATTTCTTCAAGGGCCATTGAGGCTTGATCTTGAGTGAAAATAGGACCATGAGCGGTTTCAGGATTCGGACACATGGCAGGCAAGCACGAGGTGAAGGTGATGACCTGTTTCTTTGTTCAATCTTTCTAATTCGTATTGAAGAGGGTAGATCGGAAGACTGACTCCAAGTGCCGGCTGATTGCTCTTTTCACTTTGCCATGCAAGTAATAACAAGGACAAAGGAAAGGACATGAAGAAAGCATGATATGAGATACCTTTGCTTTTGAAGAAGCAGCGAATGAATCAGCATATATATTTGTTGTGCTTGTCTCCACATGCTTTGATGTATCATTTTCACTTGCCTTACTTGCTCCCTTTGTAGAAGTGGTATTTCCTTATGCAGGTTTAGCATCTTCTCTTGTAGTATTTGTCCTCTGATACAGGAGTGGAATGCAAACCTTGCATTTGAATGGACCATCACTTCTTGGTGGCAGCGCAAGTTTGAGTGGAGGTTTCGACATATTGCTTTCTCTGTCCTTGTCTTGGCAGGTGAGAACAAGGGCAAAGGAAAAGATAGGGAAAAAGCATGATATGAGATACCTTTGCTTTCGCCCTTGATGATATGAGATACTTTTGCCTTGGTGTCATTTGTTTGCAAGGGTATTCCCGGAGAGGACGAAAACTGAGCATTTTGAGATGCTTTGCTGGGAGTGTACTCTCGGAGGTGAGGAAGAGTTGGGCATTTTTTTTTTTTTTTTTTTGCAGGTCTGCCTTGCCATAAAAGATGAAGGTCGACATATATAGGGATTTCCCAATAGCAAGTGGTAGTGCGGATGCGGCAATGACCTCCACGCGTCTTCAACTTTGTTAGAGATCTTTTGACAAAGTTGCACGCGTTATTTGAAAAGCCGAGATTGCGGCTTTATCACCCACGCTTGTCGGCAACCTCCACGCGTCTTCAACTTTGTCAGAGACCTTTTGACAAAGTTGAACGCTTTATCTGAAAAGCCGAGAGACCTCCACGCGTCTTTAACTTTGTCAGAGATCTTTTGACAAAGTTGAACGCTTTATCTGGAAAGCCGAAATTGTGTCTGAAGAGTTGGCGAACTTTACGCAGGAAAATCCGGCTTTGAAGAGTGGTGTCTCTTCAATTCTGAATCGGTGATTGTGTCGCCTCTCCTTTTATAGAGGTGATCGATCACCTCTAACATGCACACTTTGAAGATTGCCCATTTGTGAACATCGTCTCCGGCCCGTTGAGATTTTACTCTATCCAACCCTTCTCTTTTAACTTCTTGAAAAATGGCTAACCCATCTAACCCATGTAACATTTGCTTAGATTTGAGTCTTAGCAGTGATCCGGTCACGCCGCGTCAGGGTAAGGTATGGTGCCCGTCTTTCTTATCTTCTAATGACCCTCTTACAGGTGAAGATTCTGTGATGACGGATGCAACAACAGCTACGATAGTAGCTCGGAACCTCCTCACTCCTAAAGATAGTCAGCTGCTTTCAAGACGGTCCGATGAGTTGGCCGTTCAAGAATCCCAAGCTCTCAGTGTTCAGTGCGCGGGCTCTGTGTCCAACATGGGCCAACGCCTACTTGCTCGATCCCGTCAGGTTGAATCATTAATGGCAGAGGTGGAAAATCTCAAGCAAGAGATCAAACAGCTTAAGCACGAGAATAGAAGTTTGCACGTGCTTGCAAATAATTATTCGACAGGCATGAAGAGAAAGCTTGATGAGATGCAAGAATCTCAAGGTCGAATTCAAAGTGACCGTCAAAGGCTTGCGTCTTTCTTCCAGAGGCACCTTTTCCCTGCGTCATCTAGCGTTCCACCAAGTATTGGGGCCTCGAATGATCTATCTTCGGTGCCTCCCGCTCCTGGAGTTTGGCCAAGTAGTGGGGCTTCACGTGAACAACCTTTGTGAAAGCTCCATCTTTTTTTTTTTTTTTTTTTTTTTTTTGTACGCACTTGTAATTTCTTGGAGATTAATGGACATGCTTTATTTTATTCAATGTATTGTGCTAAATACAGATAAAACATATACATCACCGTCCATCATCATTCCTTTTTATTTTTTTTATTCTTTTCTTTGCTTTCGGTGGCGCTGATCCACCATTCATTTATATATATATATTTCAGATGGTCCCAGAAGCACCACCATTGTTTTTTTTCTTTTCTTTTTATTATATATATATTTTTTTCTTTTTGCACATGGTTCCAGAAGCACCATCATTGTTTTTATTATATTTTTTTTTTCTTTTTAATTTTTTACTCTTCTTTTCAAAATGGGCTGATGGATTCCACCATTATCTTTCTTTATAATTTTTTTTATGTCTTCCACCATGAAAGACTTGATAATTTTTTTTTTTATTATTATTTTTTTTACATGGTGCCGTCCACCATCATTTTTTTTTTTTTTTGCATGGTGCTGTCCACCAAGATTCCATCATTTTTTTTTCTTTTATATGGTGATCTGCAAGGCTGAGTTTGTGGGTGAAAACCCAGGCCGAGTCCGAGAGAAGGCGGAGGAGGAAGGGGTGTACGTGCTGCTGAAGCTGATCGGTAGAAGGAGATGGCTCGCAGAGGAGGACGAAGACGGACAGAGATCTTTGGGTGTGAGTTGACAAACTTTGGTTTTGTCAATCACATTCAAAGGCAGCAGCCATGGCGGAGGTGCAGAAGTAGCCAGATCTTGAGGCAGAGTGTGAGGCGTCGAGTTTGAAGACCGGCTAGTCGTTTGACAGCGGTCAATGAAGCTCTTCGTTGATTTTGATCATGGTGGCCAGAATGACGAGCTCGAGGTAGTGCAAGGCGTCAAGCCTGAAGTGGAGGAATTACAGCGGTGCTAGGTGATGAGCAGAGGGTAGATCACAGCCAATAGACTCCCCCTCGTGAATTCTTACCGAGCTCATGCCAACGTTATGCATGCCATTCCTCCGACAGCTTCAACGCATTCAGCAATTCAACCGAGTCACACAAGCTCAGACAACTTCAACCTTTCATCGAACTCGTTGATTCGGGCTATAGTTTCAGTCATCGCACAGATCTGGTCCTCATATGTTTCAGTGCAGCCCTCAAGAATGCGAAGGAGCATCAACATGCTAGCATTGAGCCTGGGCGAGATAACAGGGCCCATCACCGTGCCCGGATTCACCACAACCACATCCAGCCCCTTCTCCTTGGCAAATTCCCACGCAGCTTTCTCCGCCAGCGTTTTCGATAATGGATACCACAATCCCTTCTGCTTGCAGTAGTCAATGTCTGTCCAGCAATCCTCGCTCTTGATCTTATCGGACGGACAGCTTGGGCTGGGAGTGATGGCGGAGATGGATGACGTCAGCACCACACGGCTGACCCCAGCCTGCTTCGCCGCCGTCAGAACATTGAGCGTTCCTTTGATCGCCGGGTCTAGGAGCTCCTTCTCGGGGTTGTGGACTTGATCGACGATGCAGGGAGAGGCGAGGTGGAAGACGGCAAGGGGAATCTTGGGGTGGAACCGGAAGCGGCGCCGAAGTAGTTATTTGACGACGAGGAGCTGCTGGAGGACGAAGTCGTGGAGGCGGCAGAGGCCGAGGAGGAAGAAGGGGATGAAACGCTTTTGGGTGTCCTGCCGGCGGTGACGAGTGAGAGGAAGGCTCTAATTTTCAGATTAGCGGAAGAGGCTGCTCTGTCGTATTCCTCAATGAGATTAACGAGATCCTCATCGGACTTGATGGATACGAGGGCGTCGATCCTGAAATCCTTGATTGGATTCGGACACTCAACCCCGCCGAGCTCAATAGTATTAGGAATCGCGAACCTGCCTTCCTCGATGTGATTCGGAACTTGGACTCTGCTGCTTTCCCTTCAGAATTTTTTGGAAGCGTCGACGGTCCTCTAAACCCGCCGTCTGTTCCGCCTCCTGCCCCCGCTGTGCTTGATGGTGGAAGTTCAGAAAATAGAAGTGGGTCTAACTTCACCTTGGCTGCCTTTTCCCCTGTCAACAGTCGTCACTTTGCAGGAGGAAATTTTGAGCAATCGCTCGATGACCTTGCGATCGACGAGGCTGTCGTCGACGGCGAGAACGTGAGCTTCCAACGGCGGCGAGAGATTGAGCTTCTCCGACTTCCTCTGCCACGAAGCGACACCGTTCCTCGCCATCTTCCGGATTGGAATCGGAGAAGATAAAAACAAGGTTGCTCTGCTTTCTGTGGCTGAAGTTTTATACAGTGGACAAATGGTGGAGAGAAATGGCGAGAGCTGGACTCGCCAACGATCTGTCGTGCGCCGGCGGCGACGATGCAGAGGTCGGATTGGACGGTGACGGCGTAGTCGACGTCGGCGACGATCTTGGTGCGGGGGAGGAAGGCTGCGGCGTGCTGGAGGTCGAGCATCTCGCCGCGGAGCTTGTCGGGCTTGGCGTCGATGAGGACGAGCTCGTCGGCGAGGTCTTGGGTGAGGATGGTCTGGGCGATGGCCATGCCGATGTTGCCAGCGCTGATGACGGAGATCTTGGCGTGGCGTTTGGTGAGGGAGGGAGCGGCGGCATTGGAGATGGGCTTGAAGAAGGCCTGGGTGAGGTCGAGGCCACCGGCGTCCAGCGTGGAGCCTGAAGGAGTTTTATGCATTGTGGAGGTTGATTTTTTGTGGGTGTATGGCGGTTTTGAGAGTGAGTAGGGCCCGGTTCTTTTGGGTATATGGGCCTTCGTCCTCAACACAACAATCCAGCCCACCATTTTGGGCTTGTCGACATTTTGCTTTCTCTTTTTTTTTTTTTTTTTTTTTTAGTAGAGAATATATATTTTTTTTTCTAATACATAGTAACATATGTATTTTTTATTTTTTATTTTTATTTTTTTTTCTTCTTTTCTTTTGTAATAAAATTGACTTTCTTTAATGAAACATTTATTTATTTATTTTGATGTGACTGTACTTGAAGTTTTGAAGTTTCAAGTTGCCTATGTACTCTTCCAAAGAAGAGATCAAGTCATAACGTAGTTCAAATGAGTGATGGTTTTGATGATGATTTTGCCGTACACAGTTTATGCTCTTGCGGGCCAGGAGCTTTTGGTGTCGTTTGCAGTTTCAGCTCGTGCAGGCAAGGAGCGTTTGTTGTCACCTTTTAGGCTCGTGTGAACAAGGAGCTTTTTGAATTTGTCAAACGATCTTAGAGAGGCATTCCTTGCAATCTTTATAGCAAGGAGTCTTGACTGAGTGATTGAAGAAGTCTTTGGGGAAGAAATCGCGCATCGTGATGGCAACGGACGATCTTTGTGTCATAACTTCATCATCCTCAACACTTTCATGTAGCTTTGAAGGTTGACAGTAGTTGCTTTGCCCCCTTTCCGATTGGTGAACTTGTGGGAGAGACCTATGTTTCTTGTGCATTTTCTTTGGAGTGACATAAGTCCATCCTTCAACTTCACTTGACTTGACTGACATGGTTTTGGAGCATGCCCCCAGCGGTTGAGGTGAAGATTTTGAGTTCAAAGAGCCAGAAGTGACGGTGGTATAGTTTGACTTCACCACATCATTAAGATCTAGCTCGATGATCCCTTTCTAAGCCAACTTCATGATGAGATCTTTTAGCACAAAGCACTTTTCCGTCGGATGACTAATGAAGCGGTGGAATTTATAGTACCTTGGACTGTCAGTACGGTTCATATCTTCTGGCCGTTTGCACTCAGGTAGGTCGATCACCTTTTTGTCAAGCAAGTCTTTCAACATGGCAACCACGTCAGAGTCGGGGAATGGATAAGTCTTCTCCTCAAGCTCCTTCAAAGTGCGTCTACGTATCTCTTGATCACGAAAAGCTTCGGTTTGAATCGCCTTGCTTCGTGTATGGATTTTGACTGGAGTTGTGTTGACCGTCATTGCTTCCTTGGTGGGTTTCCACGTAGCCTTATCCACCTTTGGCCCCAAAACTTTGTCATTCTTGTAGTCGGCGATCTGTTCTTTCTTCCCATGACGGGTGATGCTTAACTCCATATCATAGGCCCGGGTGGCTAACTCCTCAAATGTTCGTGGTTTGATGCCTTGAAGGATGTAGTGTAGTCCCCACTGCATGCCTTGAACGCACATCTCAATGGCAGAGGTTTCAGAAAGCCGATCTTTGCAATCCAGACTTAAAGAACGCCATCTATTTATGTAGTCGACGACAGGTTCATCTTTCCACTGTTTCGTACTGGTCAGCTCTAGCATGCTTACAGTACGACGAGTGCTGTAGAAACGGTTGAGGAATTCCCTTTCTAGCTGGTCCCAACTGTTGATCGACTCAGGTTCGAGGTCAGTGTACCAGTCAAAAGCATTACTTTTCAGCGAACGCACGAACTGTTTGACGAGGTAGTCTCCCTCTGTCCCAGCATTGTTGCAAGTTTCAATGAAATGGGCGACATGTTGCTTCGGGTTGCCTTTTCCATCGAACTGCATGAATTTTGGGGGCTGATAACCCCTTGGCATCTTCAAAGCATCAATCTTCGTGGAGTCAGGCTTTGAGTACAGTACGGAGTCATGCGAGCTTCCTTCGTACTGTGTCTTGATAGTGCTTGCGATCATCTCCTGTAGCTGCTGGATAGAGAGAGATCCCATGAATGCCGTTGCTTGGTCTAGTGAATTGGATGAAAATATGGATGAATGCTAGCTAGAAGGTTCTCTATGGACGAATTTCTGTGTGAATCCCCCTCTAGGGTTCGGCCAAGGGCTGAATATATGTGCTTTAGGAAGTTAATAACATACCTAATTAAGTTTGAATTCAGATTTCCTAGTCTATATAGAAAAGGTAAGTGAATAAAGTCCAAATAATTTCAGAAAAAGGGGATGCACGAATTTAAACAAATAGGGAATGTCCTTGCCTTGCAAGGAATCAGAAATTAAACCCCTTGCACAGCAAGGAAAGGGGATTTAAGGTAAGAAACGAAATTGGTGCAAAAGAAGGAAGGAAAAGCCAATTCCTTGCAAGAAATCAGAAATTAGGACTTTAGGGAAAGTTTTAGAACTAGGAAAGTGAATTAAACTAGGAAATAAGAGTTTGAAATCAGGAAACATAAGGGGAGGTGCGGTATAAGGTTTAGGGAAAGGTAAGGCACCAAACAAGAGGTGTTAGGATAAGGGAAAGGTCCTAACACATATGAAAAATAGGGAACTTTGCACAAAGAAAGGGAAACCACCTTCTTTGCACGGCAAGGAAGGGAAAATTTGCAAAGAACCTTTGTTTGTTGTCCAAGGGTGCTCGGGAGCCATCTTAAGTGCTAAAACTTAGAGCGTTCTTGATTTAGGAAAGGTCAACCAAAATAGGAAACTTTGGCTTAACTTTCCTACTTCAAGTAGGAATCCTTGTGTGATTAGGAATCCTCGTCCAACTAGGAATCCTCATGTGAGTGGGAAACCTCCTTCAATTTGGAAACCATCTCGTAATTGGAATCCTCATCGTAGTAGGAATCCTTGTCATAGTAGGAATCCTTGTCGTAGTAGGAATCCTTGCGACATCAACTCTTCAATTTCGTCCATTCCTTTTGCTCCAAGCATAAGCTATCCAATTTGTGCCCAAAAGTGCTCCAAAATGCTCCAAAATGCATCCTTTCGCCAAATACGTCTTATGAACCTGAAAACACACAAAAGAAGCTTAAAGAACTAAAATAACTAAGAACTAATAACATAAATGTACGAAAACAAGCAAACTAAGTCGCATAAATATGCTCCTATCAAATTCCCCCACACTTAGCTTTTGCTAGTCCTCGAGCAAAACAAAACAACAAAAGAACACGAAACTAGACAAAACGAACAAAACACAACCTACACCTTCCAACGTTGCCTCAGGGATTTCCAATGCACATGACATGTTAAAAATTCACTATCTCCACAGATTTTAGTCATCTTCACACTTATGTACATTCTTAATCATAGTCACCACATACTAGTTCACAATCAAGCATTTAAAACCATGTTTTGAATGTAGTAACATGCCTTAGAGAATTTGCTCAATTCCTTACAAGATATGCACTCAATTTTCACTCAGATTTTCTAACTACACACCTTAATCTAGTTATATGTGAGAAGATTAATGTAAACATGAAAACGAACACTCACATATATATATCACAAAGAAAGCAATAAGCATGTTTAGATATGATCTCATGAATGGAATGCTACGACTTAGATGCGAGAACCAGTGACACCATATGCTCATACCAACTTCAAACTCCACAAATTGAAATGCACAACACTCAAAATAGAAGTCAAGGGTTGTAATGGGGCTTGGGGTATTGGTTAACAATGGAAGGATAAAGGAAAACAAAGGTTCTTAAAGCAATAGCAAGCGAAGTAATGAAATTGAGACTTAGAACTCACTTTAAAACACAGAAATCAACTTTTAACACAAAGGGAAGATCTAAGCAACACTCAGGACCATATTCAACATTTTTGGACCCTTTCCTCAACTACCACAAACATGTGAACTTATTTTCATTTATTTCATACTCTTTTTTTTTTCTTTTCACAACTTTTTCTTTTCTTTTTCTTTTTCCACCCGTGCCTATGGCACACTAACTCACATGAAAACTACTTCCCCCACACTTGTTTTCTGCCATACATTAATCAAAAGGAGTTCAACTCAAATCATGCTTTGCTATGCTTCAAGAATAAGGGTATGGATGGTCCTAATCTAGGCTAGGTGAGGATAGTGTGGGTTAACAAGGAACGTAAGCTTAACAAGGCTCAATGGGGTTAACTTAAACATATAATGAAGTAGGATACATGGCAATTTGGCTTTGGTGGTGGTCACTACACAACTTCTTCTTGAATATGTGTTATGCAAATCAATAACATGCTTTGAATGAAATGGGCATGAGTTCTAGCATTTGGAACTATATGATGAAACGCCTTCTAAGTAGTAACCAAGCAAAGAATAATGAGATCATGCAACGACTTTAGAAAACAATAATGCACAGATTTTAACTCTCCAAATAACGTTTAGGCTCAAGTCTCACAAGGTTGTAGCGTTTGTTTGAGTTCCTTCCTTCAAGCATGTTACAAAAACCAATTTTTCTTTTATGATTGCATGTGAAGTCATACATTATAACCAAAACCAAGCATATACCAAGAGTAAATCAAACTTTTCTCCATGTTTATAACTCTTTTTAACAGTCATGCAATTAAAAACCAAA